TTTGTGGCCACCTTAGTTTCTCCTTTACGCTTGGACAAAGACAGGTTACCTAGAACACAATTAGCAAAGAGCTAATATCACTGACTAGTCCAACAGCAAGAAGGCCACTCGCCGTCTGTCTGCAGCCTTTTATTTCACAAAATGTCTACAAGCTTGTCTCTCCGTTCTTCTATGTAGTTTCCTTCGTCAACAAGCTCTTCGGTCTTTTCACCTATGACATTAGCTATGTCCACAAAAGCTGCTGAGCCCTATTACATTGCCCACTCGCCCAGCTCCTGCAAAATACTACAGAAAAAGAGGACCAAGAAGACTGGGCTGCCTTTAGACAGATGGTCACTAATGCGTTCATTAACCTTATCTCCTACAAATTATGTTCATATGCAATTTAGCTTTGTTGGACCCTTTTATTTTTACCTGTCAGAGATAAATATTTATATTGAACATGAAAAAGCTTTCTTGGTGTGGCTCTAAGCTGAATCCAACTAGTGATGTATCAGCAGGCAACAAATAGTAAAAACATATTTATACGAATGGTTCCTCTATACTACTTGCCCTGTATTTTACTCAGTCCTTTCAGCTTCTTTAAAGTCTCCAGTCCAGTGAAGCTAGTGGAGGAACTCCTGTCAGGTGATGAGTGGTCACAGTTCCTGCACAGAGACCAGAGCCCCACGAATGACCCCCCTCCATGCCAGACACACTTGGAGGACACAGGACAGCTCAGTGCAAACTTCCAGTTAAACTCCAGTGGTGAACAGGGCCTCACTCTGGATGTGTTTGAAGGCAACCATGCTGTCTCAGAGAATCCCATCTATGAGGATATCGACCTGCCAACTATTATCAAAGAAGAGCAGCAAACACGTGAGCAACAGCAGAACAGAGCATGCAGTACTGCTATTCCAAGTATACTGCTGGAGAGGGAAACAAATCCAATAAGTGAGTAAAACCAAGGTGGGCGATGAGTTTATGTTGGTTATTAGAAGTCAGCTAATTAGCTAATGCTTTGCTAAAAATACAAGTCTCTGTGTTCAGCGCACTGACGTTTAATGTATTCAACAACCTTTCTAGTCTCATTTGACCTTTTTTAAGAAAAGGTTCAATATTCACAGGTGGGAAACTAACTGGCATATTTTATGTCGTAGAACAAAACTTGAAAATCTCTTATTGCCTGCCTTATTTCAGGCATCTAAACAAAAACCTATTCAAAATATCCATTCACTCCCAGCTCCCTTATATTAATAAGCCATTCCACATGAGTTGGCTGGTAGTACGGTAGCTCAAATTTGAAGCAGGAAGTAAGCCTGTAAAGTGTGATAGATGTTAAAAATGTTTGGTTAATAATTAAGTTAAATAATAAGTTCACCTCAGAATCGTTGGTAGCATTGTACGGTTACTGTCTTGATTCTTCCAAACAGGCCCCAGGACCAAAGACATTTACGATACAGTGGTGTTTATGAAGCCTGTGCAGCCAAACTTCTCTGATGTCAAGGTTGGTGAGGTCTAAAACTATGGGTCAGTTCCATATCCTGCGTTAAATATCAAATCACACATTAATTGTCATACTCATTTGTCTTTTCTCTAACAGTCGCAGTGTGTTCTGAGCACTTCAGTTCAGAAGTACATCATCAAGCTTAGCAAGAAGAGGAAACACAGACCACCACAGAAACGGCATCACCATAACAGCCAAGGTCAGACTCTTTTCTATCATCAATCTCTGTGGAGCAGTCTACTATCCAGCCTGGTTACTGCCCATATACATTCTGAAGTTTGACACACACAAAGTAGAAAACGGAAAATAATGGAAAATACAATGGAATGTCATTCCATATAAGAGAATATGCAAAAATGAAATGTTGAATGTTGTTCTGAAGCGGATACCCTCAACCAGTCTACTACCTCCACCTCTCCACAAGTATTCTCCACCTCCATATTCTACAACGCCCCACCTTCAGGAGGAGAGGAGCTGCTCTCTACAGTAAAGGTTAGTACCAAGACCCATTATTTCACTATTCTGATGAATCCTTTTCATCTGATATCTTGATCTTGTCTGTGTGTGTGTCAGCCTGGAGGAAGCAGTCCCAGGAGTCTGGCTAAGATAAAGACCATGCTGAGAGGATCATCACCAAAGGAGGACAGAGGAAAGTAATGGATGCTTCATCCATTTTATTCACAATGTGTTCAAGGCCAAAAACAGTGTGAACCCAATGTGACTTTGAATATGTTTTTGGTCATGCCCCTGAAGCGAACATTTACACTACAGAATGTTTTATTTGTGGCATAAAACAAACAAAAAAAGCCATCAAAACAAACGTGAGGACTTTAACACACCACTTCATAATATACCTTTTTCACAGCAGCCTTTTTGACAATAAATTGTAATTTAGTGTAGTAGAGCCATTCCAGTGAGCCAACATGCACAATAGCAGCACCCTGACTGTGTTTGACCTGAGTGGAACAGAACCGTAATTATCAGCATCATTCAACACCTGTGTTTACCCTACTATTCCATGTGGCTGCTGTGAAAAATGCCTATAGGGCCCAACTTGAAACTGAAGTATTGGCGCATGTTAATCAGCCAATCATTGATGAATATGTGACTGTTCCAGGAGATAAATGTGCAGTAACCATGATTACTTCCTGTATATTACACTACAGGTCTGTACCTTGTTTTGTACATGTTTACTTTAATATTATTTGCACCTTATGTGTGGTCTGATCACTCCCATTAAATGTTGCACTATTTAATCTATTTTTCTTTTTTTTTTTTGCACTTTTTACTGTACTGCACTGTATACAGATGGAAAGGGCAGACAACAGAATGTCAGTGCAGTGATGTGGGGAGGAGGGAAGGGACTGCTAACTGAAGGAGCAGACCGGAAGTTAGCCAAAATGCCAATTTTGCTTAGAGCACCTTTAATGCTTATAGGAATGAAAGGAGGCGACATAGTGTGTTGACTGTATGAAGAGTGTGTGTCAGTGACAGTGTCAGCATCAGTGTCAGCATCACCCCAAATGAATGCTAATGTTGCTCTGTGTCTGCTGGATGTGTAAAATCATTTGCTAACATGTTAAGCACATCTACTTAAAAGGTGATGGTATGTCAGAGTTGTATGAATATGAAATGATGGTGCCCGGTTAGCTCAGTGGGTAGAGCTGGCGACCCATGTACTAAGTCCTTGCTGCAGCGGCCCAGGGTTTGAATCCGACCTGTGGCCCTTTGCTGAAAAAAATATACTTTAAAATAAATAAATAAATATAAGCTGAAATGGGTACATTAATACATAATCAAATGCAAAATGAAATGAGTAAATTGTGGTACTTGATGGGAAATGCATCACTACATAAAGGCATGTAGACATCTGTCTATGAATATCCCAGCTAATTACATTTCATTGTTTATTTGTTCAGTTATACATTAAATTATTATTTATGTAGCATTTATTTATATTTTTCTATTTTATTGATTTTTTACATAGATTTTTTTGTCATTTCAGCATTTTTCACCTTCCATACATGAATATCTGCCTTCTTTTAAATGAGTGACTGTTAAATTTGGAAAATCACATTGAGTCTCTGAAACATATCAGTTATAATAAATGTATAGAATTGATATCTATATATTATATATATTGCTTTCTGAATTGTTGTTCAGTAGTACAGTAGAATGATTCACAATCATTGGTGGTTAGTGCCTGGATGGGTAAGCCGTAAGCTTTTTACTTCAGTTGACAGCAGCTGCTGCTGCTTCGTCATTCAACTTTCCACCTCTCTGCCTGGTTCAGGCAAA